ACAGTTATATCCATTTATCACCCTTTCCACTGTGGCAAAAAGAATCTTAGTGTTTCATGTTTCCCCACGTACACAATTAAACCCACAAAACAGATCAACAAACCAGTATTTAATTAACTGGTGCATATTGAGAAATAGATAGATGTACCCCTCCCCCGCCAAATACAAATAATATCAAATTGGATGTAGCCTAAATTTGATTTTCTGTTTCCAACAAAAAATTTTAGAGGTTCCCCATCTTGTTTATATTTTTATCAGGGAAGGAATGTCACGTTACTTCAAGCTTTGATATACCTTGACACTGATAACAGATGTGAATTTGACTCAATTTTCAACAATTTTTCAAAAACAGTTTGGGAAGCTACCTCTATCTGGACAACGGCACATGTCTACATTATCCAAGGAAAATCAACAAAGGTTATTCGTATTCAAGACAAATATAAAAGGCTCTTACGAATCACATTACGCACTAAGGAAAATAAATAACAAGAATTTTCTAAAAGCTTTAAACCAATCGATTAAAAGTTTGTGATAAAACATAAAGGGCTTTTGCAACGATCAACTTAACATAATTTCTTCTTTTCGTTAAAGATGTAGACATTTAATTATAAGGAAGCACAAATAGAATTGCCAGGTGCATATGTCTATGGGAATGAAATTTTTCTTAATATGTATACTATTTCAGATTCTGATTTTTATTTAAACCCCAATTACAATTACAAGTAATACCTACATCAGCAATAAGGAGGACAAGTACATGTAGTGTTACAAGGTGCAACATTTTCATATCAGAGGAGTCAAAATATCCCGGTTTTCTGAAATAAATAAAATAAAATCAAGTATTGCATTAATATTAATCATAAATGGCAAAATATTCGTACATGCATAAAAAACTTATGTTAAGATTCTGAAAATTAGCACATGTGTAATTAAAATAAATTTTGATAAATTTCAGTCAAATTAAGAATACAAATTTTAGGTTATTCTTCATGAAATATTTAAATCAAGAACTGATCAGTTACTAGTACTGTAGTTCATTCTGTAAAATAGGTTGTTTTCTTTTATCAATTTGAAGATTATACTTTGACATGAAATATAAAGCTGGTGATTAATGATTTATCAAAAGCAAATATAAATATTGTATCATAGCGAACATTTAGCTATACATGAAAGTTTCTAATCTATATTACTTGCACCTTCATCATTGCACACAATTTACCTTAATTGTCGTATTATCCGTTACTGGCATAAGCTATCAGATATTTGAATACATTATCAAATAAAAATAAACACCATCTATTCAATCTATTTTTATTTGTTTCGTCAGTTTTATTTCAAACATTAGTTAGTTATCAGATAAGATGGAACTGGTATTTAAAAAATGTACAGGTTAACGTTATGAACTGTTGAATACAGTGAATGACGTGTTTCTATTTACTTAACATACCGACATACCTTTGATTCTCGATGCATTTTGTTTTCTCTCGATCAAATTTTTTTCTGCAATACAACGTATTCTTTACAAAACAAATACGTATTCATCCTTCTTTTGACATTATATCCATCTCTGGCATAAGTGATTATCGTATCCAAAAAAACACCACCTATTCTATCTATTTCATTGATTTCGTCACTTTTAATTAAATACTTATAACATGCACATTGACTTGCTACCGTTTATATATGATACTTTTATTTCAAAAATGTAGGGGTTATGAACTATTTTATTTAAAACATTGTTATCATGTTCACTTTGTCTTGCTATCGATAAGATGGCACTTGTATTTAAGAAATGAATGGGGTATGCATTGACCGTTGTCAATATATCCATGACTGGCATACATGTAAGTGATTACCTTATCGAAAAAAAATCACCATATGTTTAAATCTATTTTTATTGACTACGTCAGTTTTATTCTAAATTTTAGTAAACAAATGCACATGATTAAATGCCACTGGTTTTAAAGAAATATGTGGACGTTGTAGGAATCTTTTAAATACCATATTTCAAATCACTTTCATTTCTTTATTCTGATACATTGTGCATTTCTCGATCGGATTTTTTCTTAAATATTGTATTATAAGTATAAGTATTGGTCCATGTTGAGAATTTGTTTAGTCTTCAAAAGGCCTTAAACAGAATTCTTTTGACTGAATTAACTATACTCTTTATCATTCTAGGGAATCGTCATTAATGAAAAAGACAAGGTCTCAGAATGCTCCTAAGGATGCGATATTTATATGTCATGGGGGTTAGAATTGACGGTAACAAAGGAAAGGCCTCGTCATAAGAAATACATCTGTAAAATATAAAAGCTCTAGCACTAAGTGTTTTAAAAATAATGGTACAGGTTAAAGGTTTTTTTTAAGAAAGTTCATCACACAAATGGAATATTTACTTCATTTCTTTTATTGATAATAAGTGTTCGTTCTAAAAGACAGGTTAGGGAAGTTTACTGATCAAAGATTGACATGAAAACGGGATATAATTGATGCACAAAATGAACACACGAATGCTTTATCTTGGTAGACATATGGTATACATGAGAGCTACCATTATTATCTTCACCTTTTTCATAAAACAAAATTAACCTGTACTTTTGTAAAGTCCTTGACTAGCACAAAAGACTGCATTTTCTACATAAATTTATTAAACCAAACTATCTGTTCGAGTGTGTCAAATTACTTAAAAAAATAGTAATCACGTACACATTGTCTTGCAATCGATAAAGTGCTAGTGGTATAGGAGGATTATGTAGGATATGAATTGTAGCAATGCTTAAAATGACATACATAAATTTAATTACTAGTAAGTCTTAGTTTCACGATACATTATGTATTCTCTCGATACAATGTTTCTAACATATCCTTTTTTGTTCACTTAATTAAATATACGTCTGGATCCATTTAAGAACTTCATTTAGTCTTCGAAAAGACAACAACAACAACAACAAGGAAACAGAAAAAATAATACGACTCACTATGCAACAATCCAAGAGGTCTTCAATAATTTTAAAAAATTAGATCTGTTAGTGTCACAGAAATGAATTTGCCGTTATGCAAAAAATATATATATTTGTGCAAAATATTATGGGGGAAAAGATTCATTGATTGAATATATATTGTTTAACGTCCCACTCGAAAAATTTTTACACATATGAAGACACCTACTCTTGCCGGGGGAGAGCTGCAAATATTTCCTTTACTCGGCACTCAGGGCCATTGAACAGGGAGGGATCTTATTCTTCTAGCACTTACTGAGACACAGGACCTCGGTTTATGTGGTCTCACCCGAAGAACCGGTCTCCACGTCCCACAGTGGGATTCGAACCCGAGAAGGACTGACTTCTTATTTTGCAACTCTAGTGCAGACCACTGCGCCATGCGGGTGACATGCTTGAAAAGAAGAAAACACTTGCTGTGACCTTCAACTCGACATTTACATGTAGATTTACTGACGACGTATTGTCAATTAACAATGATAATTTCCAGTCCTACGTCGATACGATATATCCTGGTGAGCTTGAGATAAAAGATACCACAAATTCTGACTCATCTGTTTCAAAGTTTGATATTTTCCTTGAAAAAGACGTTTATGGTAATCTTCCAACCAACTCTATGATAAACTTAATGACTTTAACTTTTTTTGTCGTCATCTTGGCTTATGCAGCAATATGTCATCATTACTTGCATACGTAGTTTATATATCTCAGTTGATTCGATACGCAAGAGCATGCTCTACATATGAACAATTTCTAAAACGAGGTAAGTTCTATATAAATCATTTCGTAAGTTCCATGTTCGATACAAAGTCCTTGCCAGCGAATACAATTAATCATTGAATCAAATGCTGACTGACGATTTTTTCATACTAACTGTTAGTCCATTATTAGAAATACAGCGAATGGACGACGAATTTTCCCGCTACTTCCCGATCATGACAAGGAACGCACGGCGGATGTGACCGGTCCGTAAGGAATGCTCACTTCAACATGGCACCTGATCCCACCTCTGATGTTTCGAAGGACCGTGTTTGCTCTCCTCTTATTTGGAATTGTTTTATGGAGTTTAAAATTAAATGATATTTGTTATCTCCATATCATTCATTCATAGTTACCTCATTTGACTTTACTTAACTTTTCTATCGTCAACGTTCCTTACTTATACAGCAATATACCTTCATCACCTTCATACAGAGTATATATATCTCAGTTGATTTGATATGCAAGAGCATGCTCTACGTACGAACAATTTCTTAAACGAGTGATTGATGAAACAAGATCATCAATTATTCAGTTCGTATCATTGCAATTCTCGTTCATATATAATTGAAACCATATTCAAAGTTTTGTAAAGTGAATTGATGAAATGGTAAATCGCACAAAATCAAATCAAATTATGTAGAGTTGTATATGCTGTAAGTAAAGATATGAGAGGTCAAGCTGACTTGGGGGACTCCGATCCTCAGCCAGAAAGGACTACTCTTTAATTTATAATTTAATTCAAAAAGTCTCAAAATGGAGCTTGAAAATTTAATTTTTTCATGCAACAATTTTCGTTATATCTGTCAATATGCTTCAAGGTTCTTTGAATTCTCAGAGAGACTAATCAAAATGTAAAAATTTTTACCCCGTAATAGCATTTTGAAATTACATATATGTAGAAATTGATGTTCATTTTAATTAAACCATAGATACCAATGTTTATTAACATGATATAATATTAGAAGTGTTTTATGGTGCTTTGCAATGACAGGAGAATCTTTATACACTTTTCATTGTAAAATGATTGAAGTAAAAAAAGAAATTAAGGTACACAATATGTAAAACAAAATTGTGGAATTTCTTCAAAAGCCTGGATATCTATGGTTCTTATTTCTAAAATGTGTAAATTGTTTAAATTTGAATTACAAAATGCATAGCAGATGTTTTTATTCGCAATTCCTGAAAATATATTTGAGATTTACTAATTTTCTTTTTATAATATGATTAATTTGAAAGTTGAAGTTTGAAGAATTATTGTGGATAAAAACGTTACTTTGAAAATTCAGAGAATTTTTGAGAAAATTTTCAATTAGTAAATGCTTGATTTTCAGAACCTGAGGATCCGAGTACCTTAATATCCATTTAGATATTTTACTGGGTGTAAACAATCTAGCTACCCCAACCTGAAATGAAGATAATTCTTATTCCATTGAGGTAAACATTTAATATTTAAGAACATGCAAAAGTTAAATTATGTACATTTCATATCTTAACATTATATTTTTTCCCCATTCAATCTAGCGGGGTTGAGTTGCATGTCATCCTTTGAGAACAAGATATGAGTAGCGCGTGTCACTTCTTACATGTGTACATGAATTAAAGAGTTAGCACCCATAGTTCATCTTTTCTTTACTATATGTCTACCCATATTTCCACAGTCAATATGGTTCGAACTTATTACAATGGGTATTAATTTTGAGTATCAAATTACATGTTTTGCAAATGTATAAAAGATATATGACACGATAGTCAAAGATCGAATATCTATTTAATTAGATGTATCAAATGTGTACACGTCAAAGCAAAATATTCAGCATATGGTTTTGAACTGTACATTTTGTTTCAGTTATTATCTGTACAGGATCTTTCCAGGAAAGCTACAGAAAAGGTTTGTTTTGTTTTTATCAAAGGATACAAAAAAACTTATATTAATATAAGATAACGTAAATAACTGCAAATTTTGTAGATATTTATATTAATGTTATATATTTCCGGTCATTTAATCTTTTCTAATTAATATATTAAAATTCTTAAATTAGACTCAACAGATCGAATTAAGCATACTTCGATTTTAGAACTAAATTTGCTGCCCCCCACCCAATCAACAGCTGAGGGCAAATTAAACTATCTATTCCGGAGGGACACCAGAGCCACATTTTGAAGATGAAGACCTACGTGTCGTGTATTGTACTGGTTGTGCTCTGCAGTAGCGCAGTTAAAGCCCTATCTAAAGACTGGGCCTACTTTTATTTAAAAACTGCCTGCTCATTGATGGGAAATTCGGGAGGAGTGCAATATCCAACTAGTGGTATATCATTTAAACAGTGAATTATTTTCATTGATTATTATCAAATTTAACTTTAAACTTCATGGTTTTCTTAATTTACAAGTATAATTCTTTAAATTTTAGATTCCTTTAGACTTAAGATAAATGATGAGAATACTCAGTATTTCATTTTGAGTAATTAAATAAGGTAGCAAATATTACACTCTTACAGAAACGTGGTAAAAGACTAGTATTCCTTTATATATATATATAATCATATTGACATTTTAGTGCATTTGTTAATGAATAATTTTTTTTACACAATAGATTCCCGCGTGATTGCGTTCCAGGCAAAAGCAAACAAACGCCTTGTCAATATCCCAAGACACCATGCAGTTAAATTTGGACATATAATTATCAACAAAGGTAAGAAATATTTTGTTCAATCAGTTAAGAAAGAAATTGATTTTTTTTCATCTTTGACAATATTAGGCCACTATTTTAATGAGAACAAATATAGAATGACAGATTAAAATAACTAAGGTTCATAAATGCTCTCCTCCCTCACATGAAATGTTTCGATAACATGATTTTCCAAGGAAATGTATACGCTAAGTAAAATATAAGTACAAAGAATAATAGCATAAGGCTTGCAGGGTCAATGGACCAAAAAATACACTTCAACTCAACAAATTTAAAAAGGAATAATATAATAATATACATTTATGGCATAAAGAGTTCATCAGAATATCTATGTACCTTTATTCACATAGACGTCGGAACCGGGGGGGACTTAGCCCCCCACTTTTTTCCAAATATATACTTAGTATAGACATTGAACATATCTTCTTAAGTTTAGCCCCCCTCCCACTTTCCACAGATACGTCTTAGTATAGGTTAAAATTGGTAAAAGTGTTGGTATTCGGAAGAAAATTTTTGGTACTGGAGTTCCCCCCCCCCTCCACGAAGTAAGATTTTTGGGGGGGGGGTTTATTTTTTTTTTGTTTTGTTTTGTTTTTGTTTTTTTTTTTTTTTGCTTGTCAGGTTTTTTTGGTGGTACAAAAAAAATTTCTTACACTTAGCCCCCCCCCCACTTTCAATTTGCTTCCGACGCCAATGATTCATTTCCTTTATTTTTGATCACTCAAGTATTAGTAATATTAATATTTACAAGGCGGCGGGTATGACAGCAGAACCGGAAAATTCACAGCCCCCGTTGCTGGTGTATATTTCTTTGACTGGACCATTGTGACAGATAATGGCGATGAATTCAACACAGACATCGTAAAAAATGGTGCTGTATTTGGAACCAATCTTTGTCGAGTAAGACTTGTTTCAACAAATGAAAAGCCTTGCACTGCAACAGCAAGAATAGAGATGAAGAGAGGAGATAAAGTATGGATAAGGGTGACGGACAATGGAAAAGACGCCCACATGACAATTTCAACTTTCGGAGGTCACAAGTTGTAAATGAAATAGAAAATTATTTACCAGAATAAAGCATGTATCTCCCATTTTTTCCTTATTTCTCTTTGTAAACCTACATAGTTTGTTAATATATACATTCAAGGTATAATCTACACCTTTTAACATTTAAAGATATATAATCTTACGATGCATAGTGAATTGTTATTGATAATCTGTGGAGAAATTGAGCAAATAACTCTTCTTAGAAATTGATATTGGCAGAAATAAATTTATGATTTACGCTTTTTCCAATTTTGGAGAAATGTCTGCATGCATAAAATTAAAAATATTTACGCATTTACAAGTACTTGCATTGATTTTAGAGGGAAAAAAGGCAATACAAAACATCACAATAGCTTACCCGTGTTCCAAAGATCAGCATAACCATGAGACAATGGTCAAGAATTGCTTGAAATTGTCAAGGTTTTATCGAGACATTCAATATATCACATACTTGTTAAATAGACGTACTACTCATGCACATAGACTCGGATAAAGTATATCTACATGTAGCAAATAGAGGACCTATGAAAAATAATCGAACGCTGACAAAGTGGTCAACATTTTTCTTATAACCTTCTGTGAATTTTCACATTTGATTCACTGATACTATCAAGAAATTTTCATAAAATTTTCAGCAAGAATTTAATTTTTCGGCAGTTCCCGTTTAATATCTGCTTTCGGTTCACTTGTTTGTATTTCAAAACAATTTACTACGTAATATTCTATCAAAAGGAGGTGAAGTATTATACAACTAATTAGGTCTTTCATTATTTGATTACTGTGAATAAGTTTTCTGTCGTTCAGATTTAGACTTTTCTATGTAAAAGAAAATTATGGCAAAACAATACATGAATTCGACGTATAAAATAAGAATCGTAAATATGAGTGGGAGTATAATTCACATCTTAAAAACTTTAAATTCTGTCTAGTAAAAAATTGGTAACAAAGTATTGGAATATTGGAAACCATTTCAATATTGATGAAATAAAAATAAAATTAATGTAGTTGCCTCTATATCTCATATAAATACCAAGAGGGAAAGCGTCGAGAGATACGTTTCCCCGTCAGCTGCAGTGGTCAAGATTCAAGATCTTATGTAATGAAAGGTAAGTTTGTACGAGTACTTCACAAATTATGTAATATCAATCGCAAAATGAGTACGGTCCTTCCACATTGTTGCTGCTTTTTGTATGAAGTACAAGATGTACAAATGTACATGTATAGAAAGAATTTTGAGGTATCTAATGGGTTATCTTTCAATATTCTAATCGAAAACGAAAGTGTAAAAATCCGTTTAAAAAGGTTCTTAAAATACTGTCATTGCCTTCTCACTTTATATTTACATACAGGAAAAAATCATCGGATATATATATTCAAAATATATATGTATGACGGTATATATTCAAAATAGGAAATTGAGTTGATAGACCAAGGACACTCTAGAATTGACCTTAAACATTACTATTGTCACAGATGAAAATGTAACATTGAACATTTTGGCATTTTTACTCTTAATTGTTTCACTATCAAACCCTATATTTCTGTTATAAATTAGTTAGTTGTCATAATTGGTTTAATCTGTCAAATTTATCTATCTATTTCAAAATATTTAATTACTTAATTAATTATTGTTTATTTCAAAAAATACTCTACTTGAAAATCAAATACCTCGTGTGATATGCAAATCAAGTTTGTCAATTGCTTACTTTGAATCGGGACTTTGTAAGTGAAATTGTTCGACCTAACGAGAAATTAAGGTCTGCAAATCTTAATTACCATTGCATGTCATTACCAGTAGCCCACACTAGTTGCACACGCATCTTAACTGGGATTTGACATTTAATTATCATGTGCATGTATACAAGTTATTTACGAAAGAGGCTTTTGAATTATTTCTTGTGCATTATTGCATCTTTTTTGACAAATTAATGCTTATAACACTGTGTCTAGCTTAGATGTTGTAGATAAAAGTCTTAATTTCCTCAAGATATGAAAAAAAAATTATGCTGCATATTTTCCGGTCACGTGATAATTTCAAGGTTAAATATACCCCCTTTCGTAAAATTTTGTAGCAGGCATTTTCAAAGGGGATAATGAAGTTTTTTCAATGACAACTTACAAATGAAATTTGATAAATGTTATTAAGAATCAAATAGCAAATATTTCAACATTTTTCTTTATAGAAAACTAATAACATTAGTTTTATGTGAATATTGTTTAAGGTGCAATAGTTTTCTCGTTGTTTTTTTTTGTGTTTTTTTTTCGTTACTTTAAATGAATTTAAATTATAGACACTTTTTAAAAAGGAATTTACCGACAGTTTATACTTGAACATAATTATTGTAAGAGTTTTTCTTTACGTAGTTAAGAAAATTTGTAAATATATAGACTTGCCATAGATAAAACTGTCATTTACATGTGTTTAGAACTGTGTCCAAAATTCCCTCGACGGAATCGATTGTACGATGAATCATGATATACTACTAAAATCGAATGGGATAATATGTTACATTATTCCCAACGGTATGAACAATAAGTTGTTTCAAAATCCATTTAACATAAGATATAGCAAGTTCCCATCAGTCACGTTTTGTTTATGTTTGTTTGTCAATGTGTTTATTAATTTTTTGTGTGCGTATTGTTTTTGTATGACGGTATTTGCTACAAGAAGTGATGAATTAAAAACAGAATTTCAACTGCTTTTGGCATAAGAACAGAAGAATACTAGTAGTTAGGTCAGTTGATGATATATGTTGAAACTATGCCAAGTAGACCTGGAAGGGAGAGACGAAATGGGGGCATTGGAAATGGTTTAAAACAAAGTACAAAACAAACACTAAAATCGGAAGGCATACTCGTACTCTCTGCACTCAGCACACCCTGAAGACGGACGGGCTGGCAGATTACATGTGGTTTTTGGATGTGGTTGCTGTGGACGTATTAGTAAGTAACTCCTAAATTTCCACCAGATTGTGTCATTTATGAATTCTACTAACATGTTGATTTTTATGCTGGCAATTTTTTTTTTTTGGAGATTCTCCACAAGAATTTTGTTGTGTTTTATTTATTTTGGGTTTATTTGTATAGTTCTGGTTTGGTATTTGGATCTTAAAACTGGTTTATGATAATGTATATTGGTTTGTTGATGTGTGGATTTTTAACTCCTGCCAAAGCATCTCATTTAAATTAAAAGAAAACAGGTTTGTAAAAATGATAGTTTATTCAATGAAAATGGAAATATAAAAAGAATATACAAAATTTATACAAAAGCAATATTAACGCAATAAAGGAAAGAGTATGTCAGAGACAAGAAAGGAACAGTAAGGACAATACAATAATCTCAATATTATACATAAACACGTACCTTAAACGATGGCATTTTAAATTTACTGTTTGCTGTACGTTGAAGTAACCTAGTTACTGTTTGAAAATGGAAATATAAAAGGTACAAATCAATTCAACGCAAGCAGAACCCTTAATTAATTTAAACTCGAAATTAATTTGGTTGACAACATGAAGAAATATCTGATTTCACCAACAATTCCATCTTTTCATTTTGCTGTCTGATTGTTTTGTTTTCTTTTGTTTTTTAAATTATTTATATCTTTATCATGTTTATATTTTTGTTGTAATTTGACCCTATTCGGTATCTATTTCAGGTTTGACCTGTAGATTACATCCTCTGTCCTGTATCTGTAAATATATCACAAATTTTTGAAATTTTATTTTTAAACAAGAGGCCCATGGGCCACATCGCTCACCTGAGCACTAAGAGTAGGAAAATGTAGAAAATGGCTTTTTATTGTAAAGTTTAAATCCAAAAGTAGTCCCATGACCAATCATGGATTTGCTATTTTTTAGAAAATGATTTTTTAAGAATTTTCCTATATATATCTTTAAAAACTTTGGTCGGCCATTTTGGCCCCGCCCTACCCCAGGGGGTCATGATTTGAACAAATTTGAATCTACACTACCTGAGCATGCTTCCATATAAATATGATGAATTATGGTTTTGTCATTCTTGAGAAGAAGATTTTTAAAGAATTTTCCTTTAAATTTCTATGTAAAAGTTTGGTCGGCCTTTTGCCCCCCCCCCCCTACCCCCGGGGGTCATGAATTGAACAAACTTGAATCTACACTTCCTGAGGATGTTTCCCCATAAGTTTCATCTTTTATGGCACAGTGGTTCTGGAGAAGAAGATTTTAAAAACATACCACCAAATTTTCATTAATTACCAATTATCTCCCCTTGAATAAGGTTGTGGCGCTTCATTTGAACAAACTTGAATCCCCTTTACCCACCGATGCTTTGTGGCAAGTTTGGTTGAAATTGGCACAGTGGTTCTTGAGAAGAAGTCGAAAATGTGAAAAGTTTACGGACAGACAGACGGACGGACAGACAGACAGACAGACAGACAGACAGACGGACGGACGCTGGACAAAATGTGATCAGAAAAGCTCACTTAAGCCTTCGGCTCAGGTGAGCTAAAAATGGAGTAACCCCTCCTTTATTTGATTAATGGGGAAAATAGACTTAAAATTCACTTCTGTGGTATATTTAATGTAATATATTTACATTTATTGAAGTTAAGCTCCATATCCTTAGGTTATGAAAAAAGTTGCAATTGACTGTCGTGTAATCTTAGTACGTATATCATTCGAGTTCATTTTTGCTTGTCGGATATGCAGCAGATATTGACTTTGATGAGTTTATAAGTTTACATGCTATTAAAATCACACGCTAAAATATTTTTCATGTCTCAATCAATCATAGTTTGAACATTAACATGCATATTTAAAACTGAAACACTGGTTATTTTCTTAAAGAAACGGTGTACCTCAGCAAAAAAAAAAAAAAAAATCCTAAACTGAATGTAGATAAACATGATACATGTACATATATGTTATTCAAATTTGAATTATTTTTCACCGAATTTTTAGCTTGAATAACCTAAAGTTTTGTATTGACTTTAAACTATGTTAATTATTCAGGTATGGAGTCATTAATAAATTCGTTTTTGTTTTAATTTTAGGGGGATTTTTGAAACGCGATTGATTTAAATTGTATAATTTACAGATAAAGAACTAGGTGTATATAAGGAAACAAAAGAAAAGTGAGACATCATTTTTTTTGTTTTCCGTTCCACGTTTTAGCAATACCCATGTATAACAAGGCTCACGTGACGTCATCGTCTCTTCTTGTTTTTATAAAAATGACTACCCTTCTTTAAAACTGATTTCTATTTAATAAACCAACAATTTTTTTACTAAATTTGCCATGTTAAACAAAGAAACAGTTTTGTTAAGTCTATATTTTTCGTTATGAACATAATTATTTTACAGTTGTTCTTCTTCTTTTTATCTGGATCTTTATTTCTGTAGTTTGTAATATAAAACGTTTTTTTTAGATAGATCCAAATTTTTGTTCAAACTCTTGAATACTTTTTGCTAAATGTTTAGAGTCTTCAAATCTGTAAAACATCGAAGAGTACCATATCCGGCAAAAGTAAAAAATAAAAAAAAACATCATTCCAACATGTTAAGAACAAGAAATCGTTCAAAATATCATTCCAACATGTTAGGAACAAGAAATCATTCAGTTTTAAATAATTTCACACATTTGAGTTATTACGTTTGGATGACTTGATATGAATAGCCTCCTTTGAAAAGTCATGAGACCTACGCGGTTTTTCAGTATCTTCTTGAATATATGAAACGGACGTCACTCCTTGTGCTACATTTTGAGGACCCATCATTGGGATAGGAAGGGAAGGACTTGGCGGAGATGTTAGGCATATTTGACGATCATTGGGGATGGTCGATTGTGGAAGGCAATAAGAAGGTGGAAGTTGAATTGGTTCTGTTAAATAGACAGCTCCCACGTCATTGTTTATATATCTCTTAACAATGCGCAAACGTAGTGTTTCTTCTGCATATTGAATAGTTTCTAGTTCACTATATCTCCCTTTTTCTGCTATCGTTTTTGCTCTAGGCAGGTGTTTTAAGGACATGTTATTGTCGCCTTTCAAATGCCACAATCGGGATTTAGCAATAGAAAAATACATCTGCAGGCGGTACTCAGCTTGCGATGAATCATATTTGTCAAGTAGTCTTTCTGCTTCTTGTAGTATATAAGAGGGACAATTAAAGTTTTCAATAAAGCGACAACGCATTCCTAATCCCAAGAAACAGAAAAGTAAACGAAACATAAACCTTCGGGTCCAAAAGACTCTAACGTCTTCCGGCTGGTTTTCTAGAATTTGTAGCGCAATTTGAGTATGGTGATCTATCCGGTTTGTTATGATTTGTGGGTCGTATTCAAACCAAGCGCTGTGAAACAGAACTATCTTATAATGCAAGTCAACTATTTCCAAATAACCGGAAACTCTATCTGCACAAATCAGAGCTTCTCTTACTAAGTCCTCACCCTTTTCTTTTCTGTTTGCTAATGCTAAAACAACGGCTCTTCTACTGTACAGCATGCATCGGGATAGGTCCGGACATGATGTCATAGAAATGATGGCTTCCATATTCTGAAAGGATTCGTCTTCCGCATTAATTTCACTGGATTTGTTAACCTGCGAGACAGTTGTTAAAGCTAACAAAACAACATATTTATCGCATGTTTCCCTGATGATCTTCTCTTCCCAGTGAAAAATACTGGTATATATTTCTTGGCTTATTTTGTCTGAGAGTTGCTTAAGACGATTGACTGAATTTAAGAAGTTCATATTCTGAATTCTTCTTTTCGTTGATTCAAAGAAGACTTCAATTTTCTTCCTGTTAGATATATTTCTTCTATGAACAACTTCTTGTCTATACAACAGATCAATCATGAGACGGAAATTGTATAACTTCTCTGCAAAATTTTTACATTTAGATTTCGACAATGCCAATACAACGTAATTTAGTCCTAACTTGCATCTCTGTGACAAGTGGGACGAGATTAAGTCAAACATTTCGCTCTTTTTATCACTTTCCCGTAAGTAAAATTCATGAAGGAAACAATAGAATTCATCAGATATTAATAATCTTAATTTAAAGGCTTCAAGTAGCTTACGGAGTTCTTCAGAATTGAGCTTATGTAGGAAGACGTGAAGTGTAGTTCTTTCTGTTGAAGTAAAATAGTTTACTGACGGGGAGAAAGACCTCCCAATAAGCACCTTACATTCCGTTTCCATTGGTTGAAGTTGACCTTTTGCTAAATGTTCATCACCTGCAATGCAAACAAAACTGAACTCATTAACAAAGAAAATACTCTATTGGTGAGGGGAAAGATTATTGGAAACGATGTATTTTGTGTTGTATTTTAAAATCACCCTTTTTTCTGGTCCTGCTTCCATGGTCTTGGGGGTATACGTTTCATAAGAATTTGTTTTTGTTGTTGATGAAGTTTAAAACTGTATGTGTTCCTTATACCAGGAATCAATGAAAATTACCCCCAAGTAAAAATATGTGATTTCACAGTACTTTTTCCCTTTTTTGAAAGTGCAAAACCACTATATTTTCTTTTAGAAATGTTTCTTACAAATTCCATGCATGCATGTTGCATATAAGCACACGGTGTTTACTAGAAAGAGATCATTTATTTATACAGTAATATTTTAAATCGTTTTGCAACCCTATGTGTAAAATTGTTCCTAAATGTACTTTCACAATGAGGTGTCAAAAGTGATGGAAACAAATAATGAGCCGTCTTGATAATCCAGTAAACATTAGGGCCGGTACCCACGGTAAGGCTTGCCTTATAAGTCTAAAACCTTACGTTTTGCAAGACGTACAGCTTTCCTGTCCACACGCTTAGGCAAGACTTACAATATTATAAACAACATTTACATAAATTCCATGTGTTTTGAGCCATAAACAGTGCGTATTATTAAACGGAATAACATATTACTAGCTGGGACTTTGAAAAGGTTTTACCAACCAGTGCATCCACACTTCTTAACAAAAGAGGAGGTTAACTGCAGTATTTACAGATAATCTCATTATCTTAACTCGAATATACTTGTTGTTTTCTTCCATATACCAACGTGTATGGTTTTATAAAAATAGAATGAACTATGGGTAAATGGTTTTCATTGGTCAAAAAATAAATGTCAGCTAAGTCTTGTATTAAGAAATAGAGCAGTTTTCTATTCCAAAATCAGACTTGTAAGGCTCCAAAAAACGTGCATAAAGGGTGTACACACGGTTAGGCCAGAACTTAAGTTTCATGACTTATAAGGCAAGCCTTACCGTGTGTACTGGCCCTAATTAAGAGAGAAAAAACAGCCAGAAAGTGGTGATCTTGACACGCAAGATTTGGTCTTGGAGTCATATGCCTGTGAAGAGTAGGGAAATTCTATCAACCTATGTTGCGTAATTTGAAATCTTGCGTTCCGACTGTGACCCTAAAATCATAAAACTGGTTCCAAAATTTCTAGATTGTAAGTAATCTGTAAATTGGAATCAGGCTCCAAGGTAGGATTTGCTTTTAACCTTGCATTGGAAACCGGTCACCGTAACTTAATGGTAGAGCGTTTAATTAATTGCTTCGAGTTTCGATACTTGTTTTCAATTTTAGTTCGATATGCCGCGTCAAACCTAAGACATAAAAGCACAAGACTAGTATATATTATTATATGTATAGCTATCAATTCTATCATTTTAAGAATGAAAACTTGTTTTGACTGTCCACGTGATTATTTTTACTGCATTTTCGTGAATAATCATTCAATACGAAATCATTTGCAAAACTTTCTAACAAACATAAGCCTATGCCTCCGATAAAATCAAATGGTCAAATTTTACTTCATCCATTAGAAAAGGCAGAAGCATTAAATAATTATTACTCAAATGTTTCTAGTGTTGATGAAAGGGAAACCGTACCTGAGCATGGTCCTGGACCCCCCTTAGTAACCATTGAAAACATAATTGTCACTGAACAAGATGTTGCTGATCAATTAAACAATTTAAATGTAAATAAACATCCTGACCCAGAAGGGATAACACCAAATTCTTAAACAATTATCCTCCTCTATTTGTAAACCGCTATCAAAACTTTTTAATAAGTCATTTGAATTTAAACGTTTACCAAATGTGTGGAAGCAAGCTAATATTACCCCAGTTTTTAAGGATAAAGGAAGTCCAGACTTAGTTAATAACAACAGGCCAATTTCACTAACTAGTGCTGTTTGCAAAATTATGGAAAAAATTATTTTTAAATATTTGTACAATTTTATATAAGAAAACAATATCTTAACAAAATTCCAATCGGGATTCCAACCTAATGACTCAACTGTCAACCAATAAGTGGAAATTTATAATACAATTATATCTAATTTAGAAAAAGGCAAAGATGTCAGATTCATTTTTTGTGATATTTCAAAGGCTTTTGATAGAGTCTGGCATAAAGGTCTACTTTTTAAATTAAAATCTTATGGAATTCAAGGTACATTACTAAAATGGATAGAAAATTACTTAGATGATAGAGTTCAAAGAGTGGCTGTAAATGGGTTCTTCTCAAATTTTAAACCTATATCAGCTGCTGTTCCTCAAGGTTCTGTTCTAGGTCCTTTCTTATTCCTCCTGAATATTAATGACATAACTGATAATTTAGTTAATAATACAAGGCTATTTGCAGATGATACATCACTCTTTATAGTGGTAGAAAATGATGTTAATGCAGCAGCAATATCACTTACATCTGACTTAGATAAATTAACAAATGGGCCTTAACATGGGGTGTGGATTTTAATCCAACCAAAAGCTGTAATGTAAATTTTACAAGAAGTTCAAATAACCATCCCCGAGTCCAATTTGGTTGTAATGGTAGCGTTATTAGTGAATCTAGATCACATTGTCATCTTGGACTTCTTTTCCAAAGTGATGCCAAATGGACATCTCATCTAAATAGTTTATACGAAAAAGCTTGTTCTCGACTAAATCTTTTAGGAATGTTGAAACATCTGCTAGATAGAAGTACATTGGTAAAAGTTTATTTTGCTTTTATTCGACCCATCTTAGAATATGATAGCATTATTTGGGATAATTGCTCACAAGAACTCTCAAATCTTTTAGAAAATATTCAAGTAGAGGCTGCCCGAATAAATAATAACAGGACTCAGGAAAAAATCATCTAGAAATGCTTTGTATTTAGAATTAGGTTGGGAACCATTAAATAAGAGAAAGGAAAGACAAAAACTCTTGTTGTTCTATAAAACTGTTTATGGCATATCCCCTCTTTATTTACAAGAAATGGTCACACCTTTAATGCCACCAAATCATAGTTACAATCTTAGAAATATTGATACTTTTAATTTTCTTAACCTCAAGCAAGGACAGTCTCATATTTCAACAGTTTTCTGCCTTATACTATTAGATTATGGAACAATTTACCATTTGAAACAAAATGTATTGAATCTTATTCATCTTTTAAAAATCTCCTAAAGAAACCTGCTGCAGATAGAATAAAGGATATCTAAATCTTTCATTAAGGCAATCGCAAGGAAAACATTATACATTGTCAACAAAGAAATGAATCTAGTAATTTAAATGCCCACCTGTATAATCAATACTTAAAGCCGCTTGGTCCGATTCTAATCGCTAAATATATATATTCGTTTTTCTTCTTGAAAAATAATTGTCCATAAATTGTTTCAACTTTTGTCAAATTATATCCCCAAAGTCTTTTTCCTTTAAAAGATATCAAAATTCAAAAGTTAAAAAAATAATTTTTGTTAGGTCACACATAAAAATAATCCTATGTTGATCATTGTTGATATCGCGTGAAATCACCTTCGAAAAATTAAATTTATCGCTTACATGTTTATCTCATGAAGAACAAACCCAAGCAAATTTTTTACAACAAAGTACATATATATTACCTGTGCACGGACAATATTTTAGCTCCTTTAAAAAAATCATATAAAATATCTGATTTCCTTTTATTCTTTAAATATGCATACTAATGTAAAAATTACTATGGATTATATTCAATTAATTTCTTAATTTTGAACAAATGTATTATGACTAAAGCTTCTACTAATAGAGAAAATACTCGAGTTTGAATTATCTTCATTATTAGATATATCCGATAAACTTATTTTTTTCAAAATAGACTTCACAACAGATCTTAACTTCCGTCAGGAACTGCTGTTTGTCAATAAGGTTTTTGATCTGCGTTTCCATGTAAGGATTGTTGTAATAAACTATTAAATCAATCTTAAAATTCATTCTTATATATTATCTATGTAATGACCTACTTTTATTGTGTAAGATAATATGTGCCTGTTTCGGGTTAAGCGGCTTTAAGTTGTCCTGCCTATTATCATCAGAGAATGACACTTTTTGAAAGTCTTCAGAGTTTCATAGAACTAGAAACAATGTCTCCAGATCAAATTTTGAATATTTTGCTAAGTGGTGATAGGTAAATACCTTATAAAATTTACTGTTCAATTTTTGAAGCAGTCCAACAGTACATCAAGTCTTCAAAAAGATATTGATAGTATTTTGTAATTCAGTAAAAAATAAATCCAGATATTTCTTATTTTTTCTATTTATTTCAAGTCTCAGCATTTCCATTTTCCATGTACATGTATATGTTGTATTTTCTTTGGTAATTTGTCTTTGCACTTTTTATTTTCTCTTTACTCAGTGTTATTGCTTAAATTTATTTACTTTTAAATATTACTATTTCCTTCTATTTCGTATTTTCTTAAATATTAGTTCTTTGCACTTTACTTAATTATATTCTGTTTTGCTGTTTTGTTTGCACTTCTTTTTTATTTTTCTTTCATTTTTTTATTTTTTTTTCTTTTTGTCATTATATTGTATAGCGAGTATGCATTAGCTTAGTAATAATTCCTCTGTATAGTTTAATTCAATTTATTTCCTTTTTTCCCACCTTTAGTTAACAAAAGAATTTAATGTAACTTATAAGGAATATTTTCATCATTGCAATTCATTGTCAGTTCTTAACATTTACATAATAAAATACTGATTAAATTAATACGATTTGTCAGTATTGAAAGTGGTATTGCCGGGTTTTGTATTTCATATGAAAAGTAGTATTGTTTTTATTTATTGAAATCAAACATACAATCGGTGATTAATTTGGTAATCAACATGTAAAAGTTTTGCACTATTAATTAAGCAAAGTGACACGCTGTTATTGGAATGATAGTAGTTCCTTTTCCTTCTCGGAAGGCCCGCGGCATAAAAAGATATAAATATATGAGTCTCTTGGATGCAACCATAAAAACTGAATTGCTGCTCAAAGGCCGTAAGTGCCGAGCAAAGGCCTAAATTTGCTGCCCTTTATCGGCAATGGTGAAGTCTCAATATTAGTGAAATATTTCGCGTTAAACAGTATACAATCAATCAATCAATAGCACAGCAAATAAAATAAAACAAAAACAGCGTCAATGCAGACGAGTCGATATTCAAACAAATATTTTTTCATCCCAATCATCGGTAAAGGTAATGATCAATATTTTTGCTAGAGAATTACTAGTAAACTGAACTAGAAATTAGAGATTTGCTTTGTTTGTATAATCGTGATATAACAATCTACATGATCTATGCACATACGGTGCTGAATGCATACTGTAAGCGAACTATTTTCATTAGCGCAGGCTTTTCAGTATGTTGAAGTTGCTGAAGAGTTTCATGTTTCATAATGTTTTCGTCGATATGATGTTAGTGGTTATATTCTGATATTTAGCAAATGCATTGTACTTATTTCGGATCAGACAATATACAACTTACTCAAGCAATGAAAGCCCGGCTCTCAGTTCTTTCAATACTTTGATTATAAATGCTTTTACTTGTACATCATAATTATGTATTTAAACATTATCAAATATAATTGCATAATTTCATTTAACACATGACATTTACCACACTCACAGTTTTTAGGGAAAATATAGATAAAAAAAATGCTCGAGAGGGAAGTATTAATTTGATTTAAACAATATTTTATTATGTATTAACATGACAGGCAATGTCTATATACTAGTAAGTCCTCACCAGGGAGACTCCATTGTGGCAACGCACTTCGAAAAAATTACGCACTTTGAAAATAGTTTTCAAAGTGCGTTAAATTTGGGACCAACTCAACGCACTTTGAAAAAATTTTTCAAAGTGCGTTGAGAGTGTACATCAATATTTTTTACTATGTAGATACTTAACGCACTTTGAAAAAAAATCATATTTTAGTCATGGAAAGATTTTATTTGTTATTTATATTTCAAAAAACTAAGCCTAACCCTAACCTCAAAAATGAATTGATTTACCAACGTCGAAGAGGAGAAGTCGGATAAAAGATCCCTCAGTCCAAATCTTTATCTTTCCAATACATAGGTGTAACAAACGGGGGAGGGGAGCAATAAACCTAAAAAGGGTAAGCTGCATTTTCATTGCTGATACGATGTATATCTTTCCCAAATAAGTGGGGGGGGGGCTTAGGCCTCTCCCCTCCCCTGGCCCTTCTCACAGTCTCGATGTCTATGCTATACTCAAAGCATTCATATAATTATGTATTTACCTAACTGGTATGACGTTGAAAACTTTCAATAGTAAATGAGTTAATTAAAACAGATGAAAACTAGAAATGTTTAAGTACAGTAAAACGTTTGAGAGAGAAAGAATTTTCATAGTTTTGAACAATCATATTGGCCTCTTTTTATTATGATAAATGCTAAGTTGCTTGAAACTGTCCTCTCTTAGTGCCCCTATACACCTTTACATCTACTTATCTAGACTAGAATTTAAAAAAAAAAACGAATTATTGAACTTAAGCAATCGTCACTCTTTTTTTCAAGACCCTTTAATTTTCCTTATTTATTTTATCAAAACCTTAAATATTTAATACGTCAATATCTGAGGTCCTACAGTGACTTTATCATAAAAAAGTTATCAAACCAGAATCTGTTATTTATCATAGGAATATTGATCAATCTTTACAAATTTTTTTTCAAAGTGCGTTAATATGGTCGATATTAACGCACTTTGAAAAAAAAATTATTTTTTTCAAAGTGCGTTAGGTTGGTCCCAAATTTTAACGCACTTTGAAAAAGTGTAACACTCCATAGAAAGAGGGAAGTATTGTCTACTCCAGATAAGCTTAATGTATACTGAAAAAAAGCTTGTAAATAATCTATGAGTTCATTTAAAATGGCCTTTCACTCGTATACACCCATGTGTACATGTATGTGTGTGCGTTTTTACGAGTTCTTTTGTATCCTGTTGCTCGCAATTATCTTTAACTAAATTGATGAGGTTGATTTCTGTTCGTTATCGGAACAGTATATATTTAATAGTTGAATTTGTGTGTTTTTGGTTGAGCCAGGTTATTGCAGATATATCGTATAAAATGAAATTTGAGCGAAACGCAATATTAGCGATTTGTCCTTAAAATATGGTATTTTATTTTAAGCGAGATGTAATTTTAGCGATTTTTAAGTGGTCACTAAAGAAGCTTTTTCATACCAAACACAGTTTATTTTAGCGGTATTTAATTCTAGCGATCTCAGAACCCTCGCTAATAATGCAAAAATTAAATCCTCGCTATAAAATTCTGCTTTTACGGTATTTATATATAGATATATTTCCTGATTAAACACTATATAGCATTAATTTTTATTATAGGCAATCAAAATGAAACACACAAGTACAAAGATGTGTTAAACTTTCTGTACTTTTAACATTTATATCCACTTAATCCATGAAATATTATCATGTACGGTGTTTGATGACTTATAATAAACAGTAATACATGTACTATATAATGTTTAATAAGGAAATATATCTTTGAATATATATTCTGAGGTCCTGAAACAGCTCATTGCATTATGTCTTTAGCAACCAACAGCCAAGGGTTGTCAAACACATCCGTTGTTCCCATTATCAAGGGAAATAAATGCCATTCTCCCGGCAGAGGTATTTGCTAAAAGTTTCCTGATACCAAAGTTTTATATACTATATGTTAAGAATTGCTGAACAAAAATTATGAACTATTTCTTGGAGTAAGATAATCGGGAGAGAAAATTTAGCATTGGCGTCAGAAGGAAATTGAAAAGGGGGCTTGGTCGAAGAAAAAAATTCAAACCTATAAACAAACCTGACAAGCAAAAAAAACCCGTAAATTGCCCACTTTCCAAACACGCCAATCCTATATCGTGCGAGGGAGGGGGGGTCGAAATTCTGTTGACCCCAATTCAAACTGCATTTAGTCTCCCGACTGGTCAGAGGTTATAGGGTCTGCTCTAGAGTCGCAAAGTTAAGAGCTGATCCTTCCTTGGTGGTTTCGAATCCCACAGCGGTCCTTCGGATGAGACCATATAAACCGAGGTTCCGTGTCGCAGTAGATCGCAGTACGTACTGGCGTGAAAAAATCCAAGTAAAGGACAAAATTTGCAGCTCTCGGCAAATGGTGGCTTCTCGATATGAGTGATAAATTCTCGAGAGGCACGTGAAACAATATGCAATCAAACTACATTTATTTATCCTTTTTGACCTAAATTGGAACGTGTCTGTTGAAAGTTGGGGGGTCAAACTACGCCCAAATTTTCAATGCATATATGATGTCTATCTTTGCCCAAAAAAAACATTGGGGTGAAGCCCCCTAGCCCCCTCCCCTTGGGTACCGACGTATATGAAAATAATATTCAGATGGTGTTTCTGAAATTAGAATGCTATCATCAGTCCGACGTCGCTTGTATTTGCATGGGTAAAAATTACCGGTCAATAGATAAAAATGTCAAAACAAATGGAGTGGACTATACAAAATACGCGCATTTCCTTCGGTGATTACAAAAACGTTTAATTTACCCAATACAGAAACTACATCTGACGGAAAAAAGTTAGTGTCGAAGGGGACAATAAACTTGAAAGTGTCAAAATAGACAGAAAAAAGTGTTTGAATACCAAAGGAGCCTTAACGGTCTCGATTAAACTGTCCACTCTAAATCTTTCTTAATGCATTAATTATGAAAGATTTAGAGTGGACAGTTTAAGGGGGAAAACAGTGAAAATATCATACACGAACTAATTAAGGTCATTATTTAACTATATGTTGTTTCATGTTCTTGTTTACAATTAAACTATACTCATCTCTTATATATTTATTTAAAATACTTTTTTTTATTTAAAAATATGTTTTACTTTTGGACTGGAGCCAAAGTTAGACTTTGATATGACTCCCAGGGAGGAAGTAAAGTAGTGATGCGCAAAAAATTATAATCGGATTATCTGGCAGATATACATGTATCTCAACAATTAATATATTTTCATATTTCTATAATTTTTTAATAAATTTCCCCACCAAAAATCATCCATACCTGTTTATATTTCTTCAGAAAAGATCTTGCATCCTCAAATGCATACCCACATACAACATGTACAAATCATTCATATGTGTGCGTTTTCAGGAAATACACATTCCGGAAACTGAGGTGCCCTGAAGGAAAACGTTTTGTAATATTTAGCTTGCATATCTTCCATAATTAGACGCAGATTAAATTAAAGTATTTATAAATACTATTGGGGGTTGTTATTTAGATTCATTTTTCAATCCATTTAAGATCTAAATTATACAATACTGTTCATATATAGTGCAATGTATTTTTAAGCAGATGGGTCTTTTAATCAATTAGAGCCTGTTAGTGTCATTAAATTAAAGTATGCAAAGCAGTTTTTAAGTGTTTTTTTTATTTCTAAAGTTTCTCATCGGGAGGACATGGTTTCAATTTTTTTGACGCGTCTGTCGTAAAACATGATCGATACGTCGAAACATATGTAGTGAGTGATATACTCATACTTCCACCAAGATCCGGTGGCACTAGACGTGAAAGTCAAGGATCTTTTAAATACGACCTTAAAACGTAGGTTAAATATCAGGGAAGGTGTTTGCAAGGCAAAGATCCCTCACTGCTTAATTCCCCGTGTCGAGTAAACGAGTCAAAAGGGACAATCGATGAAAAGATAACTGATTTTCAGGGAGTAATGATTAATTATAAATACCGGCAAAATCAATTCATTAGATAGAATGTTCAGAGAAACTTTCATTGTATTGATACAATAATACTCATCCAAACTGCCTTAATTATTATTACCAGTTCTAGATGTGTAGTTTTTGAGTAATCAAATTGATATACTAGGATCGTTTACTTTTTGATCATCAAAGATTTCTGTGAATATAATTTAAAATCGACTTTGTGTAAAGTAGGATCTTTCAGAAGCGTATAACACCACAGCAACGTAGATCAAGTTACGTACTTTTTCAACGATTGTAAACTCTAAGGCTATCTAAGTAGATCTGATTCATCCATGGTCCAATAGTTTATCGTTTGAATGTATGATCAATCTTCAATCTTCAACACAGTCCGATTAATTTCATAATTTAGGCTCAGACGAACAAAAGAAAGCCACTTTTCAAAAAAGAGCATACAGAGGCAAGAGTTGCAGACAAATGGAACTGAGAGCACTACATTTTCTTCTTAGACTCAAAAGGACGAGTTTTTATAAATATCCCTTTTCAACAACCATACCTTATATCGCAAATTCGAATATTCGAAAAGATGTTACATCGTCTGAGCTGTACCTTAACGACGATCCCTCTAAGTTTGTCCCGATTCAGTTATATCGGAATGGGAATTGTGCATTAGGAATTCTTTCCTTTGTGTGTGCAAAGGGAATGTAAGGGTGTGTGTGTGTGTGTGTGTGTGTGTGTTTAGACATGAGAAAAATGTTGAATGTAAGCATGTACGAATTGGGCTTGAATTGTTTAAAACCTGAAACCTTAAACGAATGATCATGTTTGCAAACAAAAGTTCATTTTATAATTTTTGTGAATGTCGAAAAAATAACTACTTACATGTATTTTTAAGGAAATTTATGGAATGTGTCCGATTTTTATCGACACCGGAAACTTTCATAAGGCGCTACCTATCGACAACGGAAACTTCAACAAAGCCTCTACCTACTACCTATGATTTGTTTCTAACACATATAACATATGTTAAATAAAATCAAAACTATCAAAACAACATAATCTTTCGGTTTTTTGATTTTTTTCTGATTTTGTTTGTCAATGAAATAAATTTATAATTGTTGTATTAAAAAAAGTTTATGTATAAGAGCATTTGGTGTCGAGATTAAATTTCCGTGACATCAGCTGATGGCGATCGGGCCCTGTGACGAAATTCGAAGTCAGCATGAAGTTTAGCTGATAACATTATCAACGCGTTAGATTTAAACTTTTGGAAGAAATGTATAGCGAGAAATATCATATTTGAACCAAATGCTACACGAAAACCAGTAGGCATTTCCGATTTATGTGTTAAATTGAAGCCTAAATCGAACAGGTGTCAAAATGGCGTTGGACACCTTGTGTATTTATATAAAGAGGGGTAGAATGTTTCGATATTTGGCTAATTTAGAGACTTACTGATAAAAATTCAGGTGCCTGTGATTAATTATAAGGCACCGCTCATGAACAATAAATATTTGACCGATTTATGCTACTGGGCACAGGGAGGACGGGTTAATTACTGGCTTAAGGGGTTGAAGGTTATTACCGACTGCAAAACATCGGAGAATCTCTCGATCGAGTTTCATTTTCCAAAATATTCAGGCATCCCTTTAATTAACTTAAGTAATACTAGTACACGAAGAAAGCCTTTATATAAAAATACTGAATACTTCTGTAAGTTGTACAGTTATGGATTACTTCCATAAGGAAACGTTTGTTTTCTTCTCCTTTTTTCTCAATTGAAATTATTTAAAAGATGATAAAAGCTTTGTTTCCAGGGATAAATTCTGTACTCGGTCTAATTATTACAAACGATTTTAAACGATCACATTTTTATTAAAAAAAAAAAAATTATGGGAGCCTGAAAATACAAAAATTATTTTTAAAAAAATTAGAGAAAAAAATTCAATCGGCATTCGATCCTTTTCTAAAAATCAGCCGATATAAAATATGCACAAAAAGAGGCATGAAAAATCTTGACGATAAGCACAAATTGAAAATTATATCTAATGAATGATTATTTTTGTAAGTTTGCTAATTTCCTATGCAAGGTATAAGTTGTAAAAATACCGTTACTTTTTAAATTTGAATTTGTCCAATTTGTTAATTATCATTTTGAGCCTTTGAGAAGAAATAAAAATTAAAATACAGATGCTTACAGACATATCGATAGAAATTCGCATACTTGTTTTTAGTAAAAAAAAAAAAAAAAAAAAAACAATGTATTGCTTATGCGACATATTGAAGAAAGTGACAATGATACCTAGGTAATTCTTGCAATGGACAATTAAATTAAACAACAACTTTCCTTTTCACGGTTTTTTTTTTTTTTTTTTTTTAATACAATATTTCATGAAAAATATTTGCCAAATACTCAGTATATGTTCGTTTATACATATCGTGCAAGACTCTTTTTTTAAATAATTGTCATATACCATTTACTTATTCGAACATTTAATTCTATGAAAAGTCAATAATGTACATTTCTTAAAACTTTATTATCTTGTTTACTTGTCTTTCTTCCTGTGAGAGAAATAGTTCATAATATTAACAAACAGATGTACTCAGTATCTGTATCAAAATACAACATGAACAGTGATCGGTCTCAAAAGAAAAACGGATCCTTGAAAGTTCCGGTGCCTAGGAGAAGTAAGCATCCCCAATGACAGGTCACACCTGCTGACCCGCAGTGAGCCTACGAAACTAAAGCTCTCTAAAATTAATTACTTCTCTGCTCGTCCATCCGTTTTTCCCAGACTAGCCAGCTAAAGATCTATGTACAGTACTCCATATAAATTAATTTAAAGAATTTGAATTATCATTTTATTTTCTTTTTGAGTTGTTTGCTATAGTAGCCTTTACAGTTACCTAATTTCAGAATCAATAGAGCATGAAAGACAATTAATTTTGCAACATCAACATATTTTTTTTCGTTCTGAGCACTTTTGGACGCCACCAATGGAGACAATTAGGGAGAAATTTTTGAAATTGAACTTCCTGTCTTTCAGACTCTGTGGATTCTTTTATCTCAAGCTCACCAGGATACATCATATCGACGTAGGAATGGAAATATAACCATTGTTAATTAAAAATACGTCGACGATGTATCTAAATGTCGAGTTGAAGGCAACAACAAGTGTTTTCTTCTTTTCTTGCATAAGATTTTGCACAACGTCTGATTCATATGAATATTAAAATTGGTCCGCTAATAACGTAGCGCAATTTGAACGCATGGGAATTCTATTGTTGGAATATCTGGTCTCCAAAAACTCCAGAGTACGTGTGTGTGCAATCAGAATGTATTTTAACAAAATAATTTTGCAAATAACCAATGACCAGGTAAGTAAATTTACAAGTTCCATTTTTATTTAAAAAAACAGCTGTGAATGATATCAAAAAGCCTGGACTTTAATTAATCATGGGGAATGGTTGTATATAAAGTTAAAAAGTCGTAAGTTTTAAAATTGTTGATTTTAGTAAAATCTTGTGATTTCAAATTGTCCAAAAACTCTTTGGAATTTTTTAGCATCCACATCTGATTCACACCTCTTCTTAAGTATATTGTTGCACAGTACTCCTGAAGTTTTTCCTTCACTACTGTCAATATCTTAGTGTATAAGACGCCACTTCACTCGCTAACGCAAAACCAATTGTAAAGTCACAACTGTGGGATACAAAAACGATATCACATGCATGAGCTATATCCAAGGGATTAAGGGGTAAACATGTTGAAAAATATTATCTTACAATGAGTAGCGAATAATAATTCATTGTATGTCTGTGCCATGGGGCAAATAGCTTTGTTGAATTAATTGAATACTGGCTGAACAAAATTACTCTCTTCCCAATTCATTTTCTACATCTATACTGGGTTTAAACCGCTTTTTTTTAAAACCTAATAAGTTAATGATTGTCTATGCTGTTTCACGTGATCATTGCTTTGTAAAATATCCTTTTCTCAATGCAATTCTTAAAAATTCAATCGTGCAGAACTCGCCCGTGTGACGAAATATATAGTAAGAGTGTCTGCTCTAGAGACGTGAAGTAAGGAGTTGGTCCTTATGTTATGTACGTCGCGAATTCGAATCCCACTGTGGAACTTGCAGACCAGTGCTTTGGATGATACCGTATAAACCGAGGTCCCGTGTCGCAGTGGGTGCTGGCAGGAAAACGACCCCTCACATTTAACAGCGTGTGGAGTATAGGAAAAAAATTGCAAGTGGTGGCGTCTCTTTGTGGTTGAAAAATTATCGAGAGGGATGTTTAACAACAAACAAACAAAACAGTCAATCTTATAGATAATATAATAAAAGATTTTGAAAAATGCATTACAATTGTCATTACAGATTTATTATGTTTATTATTATTTATTTTTAAAAAATTAAATATAATATCAATAATATAAAGCAAAGGAGACATTGTAACAAAAAAATATATGAACACTATATTGAATATTATTGCTGTAATCTGTAGAATTTACAGGTACATATATATCCAAATAATTCTAAAGCATATGCAAAACAAAAGCGTCTATTGCAAAGATTTCAACAAAACTTGAATTAATATTATACTTCTTACAAGGTTAAAAAAAATGAAAAACAACGATTTTATCAGAAGACAAAACAGGCATACTGTTATTCAGATCAAATCCATGCAAACATAAAGTTATTTTTTAGTCAATCACACACTCTGTGCCGTTCAAATATGAAACATCAAACATCAGAGATACAAGTTGTATTCATAGGAATATTTTCGGGTTCCCTTTCTACAACAGTTCTCTCCTTGCGACAAAGATTTCGAAGCGAAGAAAAAGATGGTAAAACCGTCAATTTCTTCTTTAATCTTAATATGATGATTACCACAATAGCTAGAAATATAATTAATACACCGAAAACTACAAAAATAATAATAACACCGACTTCTTTACCGCTTTTCTCTTTTTCCCCTTGGAGAAATGTTGAAGCATTCTTAATCGTATTACTGTTTGTGGAATTAAAAGCAGCAGTGTCAATTAGCGTGACTTCGTTACTGTTAATGGGTGTTGAACTTTCTATCCAAGGTTCCCGGCTTAAAGTCGTGTCGTTCTTCACAATTTTGATTTTCCAAGTATGAACATATTCCTATGTATAAATATGAAAAGAAAACATAACTAAGATTGCAATATTTATCATTTATTTTGTTTGGATATGTTTTTTTACATGTTTTAAGATAAGGAAAAAATGCATATAGTGTTAAATGGAGTCCCCTGAATTTAATTTCAACTCATTTTATAAGTGTTTGCATTGTCTTTCCAGATAAAAATAATTTGGAAGCATACAAGTGTCTCACCTGTGTTTCAAAGATCAGCAAAAACATAAGAGAATAGTGGAGAATCGTGTGCATCATCGTCAAGGTTTTATCGCGACATTGAAGACATCATATATATAAATTAAATACACTACACGTGCATCTAGTCGCGGCAAAATTGGGCATATATCAGCCCAAATCAATTAATTAAAATCTAACAAAGTGGGGAACTTTATTCTTACAATCTGCTGACATTTTTCACTTCTTTTTCATTTATACTATTTATCGTGAAATTTTCATAAAATCCTCGGCAATTTAGAAAATTTTCTGCAGATATCCTATAACCTTACAACTGCTTTCGTTTCTCTCATAGTGAAGCGATTATATTTTTAAAAAGAAGGTTGTATTTTTAAATAACTTACCACGCACTATATTATTTAAAGCAGGTGAGTGTCGGCTGAATTCTATATTTAATGTTGGAAAATACCAAATGGAATATATCTATAAATAAATCATCTCTCTTGTGACACAATTCAGTGTACATGAAACGTTAGATATAATTTACCATGCAATAATCAAGTTATGAATTTTTTTTAAAAAAATTAAAGAACAACCTTGATCTGAATAAAATATAGAAAATTTTAGTTTCATACTATGTAAGAGACTGCTAAATGAGTACATATGCATGCCTTTCGCAGGTGATTTAAATGTATGAATTAGCTTTTAAAAATTCAAACTAAAGCATTGTTAAGACTGAGTTTATATATTCATTATATAGAAAAAAAAAAAAACAATATTAATTGATATTTCAAAATTTTGAAAAGACTTTTTGAATAGTGAAGGAAATATTACTTCATTCTAAATTCATTATCTTCTGGGTTTTTTCTTTAAATAAAAACTCATTTAGAAAAAAATGTTAAGACATCAATACAGAAAATGACAGTTTGATTGATTTTCAAATCACGAATGATTAAGATGTTAATATATAAAATGAAGTACATGCAGTTTTATTAATAAAAAGCTGAAAATAACAATTAAGTAATCGATCTAAAAAAATACAAAGTAAACCTGTAAACAAATCTGTAAGCATCGGGGGGGGGGGGGGGTCGGATGCCTCAATGGAAATAGCATCCACTGACAAATCACTGTGAATGAATTTATCAGGAAAAAAAGGAATAATCCTTCAATTAACGTTTTAAAACAAGTGTTTAGCAATGGCGATGAAATATAGCAGTCAAAATACGATACATTGATAGGCTGTGTTACCTAAAATTTCATTACAATTGACAATAGTTTGAAACTTACAAAATGCTGACTTTAAACCAAAGCAAAAATGAAATAACAATTACATCAATGAAATATATGGAGATAACGAACAGTATTCAAGAGCAATATTCCATAAAACAATACAAAACAGGAGCAGAGCAAAAATGGACCTCCATTTAGAAAACATCAGAGATGGGATCAGGTGCCATGGAGGAGTGAGTGAGCATTTTCTGCCGACCAGTCACGCCCGATGTGTGCCCCGTCACATAATCCAAAATTAGTAAAATTTAAAAAAATTACCAATTGTTATCTGAATTGGACGTAATATAATCGCATGAATAAAATAAGTCACATTTGAAAATGAAGTTGATTTCGTATACTCTTTTTAAAAATATATAAATGAAGACTACATTAAATAAGCCTCAAAATTAAATGACTGATGTCAGAGAGTATACCACTCTTATAAAAACAGATAAATGTGTTTTTTAACACAATAAAATGCATTTTGAGTAATTAGGTTATACTTGTTTTTATTATCAGGATAACTGGTTATAATATTTTTAAAATTTTCAACAATAGAAAAAGGAAATTCATTTTCAGAGCACTCATTCAATCTTGTGTGAGAGAGGGAGGGTGTGTGTGTGAGGGTGAGGGTGAGTGTGTGTGTGTGAGTGTGTGTGTGAAGGTGTGTGTGTGTGTTCTTTACCATTTATTCTATTTATCGTAAAGACATGAAACAATCCTCTCTGGCATCATCTGAGTACAGATCCGATAATAGTGATCTTAATTGTTAATAAATGGTTCAATTATGTCATTTTGATTCGAGCTATATCCAACAATCTACAGTATTCATCACTGCATCTTCTTAAGAATTCTGTTATAGTTTGGGAATATATATTCGTCGTTTCAGAATAGATATATTGTTTCTGGCATTTGTCTGTTGTCCGTCTGTCTGTCCATCTAGCTGTCTGTCCGTATGTAAACTTTTCACTTTTTCGACATCTTCTCAAGAATCATTGGACTAATTTAACCAAACATTGTACAAAGCATTTTTGGGTAAAGGGAAATTAAAATTGTTAAAACAAAGGGCCAAGCCCCCTTTGCAAGGGGAGATAATCAATAAAATACAAAAGTGGGGCGAGGTCATTAAAAAAATCTTTCTTTCAAGAACCACTGGGCCAAAAAAAGATGACATTTATATGGAAGCATGCTGAGGTATTGCAGATTCTTAATTGTTCAAATTATGACCCCCGGGGGTAGGGCGGGGCCACAATAGGTAATTAATGTTCCCTTAGAAATACATGCAACAGGGAAAGAATTAAAAACCTTCTTCTCAAGAACTACAAAAAAGCTGAAACTGATGTGTTGAAACATCTTAAATTCTATATTGTTCAAATAATGACCCCCGGTGGGAGGGCGGGGCCACAAAACGGAATTCAAGTTTTACATAGAAATATATAGGAACTACGGTTAAAAATCTTCTTCTCAAGCACCACTGGGCCTGAAAATCTGAAACTTATATGGAAGCATTCTAAGGTAGTGTAGATTCGAAATTGTTCAAATCATGACCCCCGGAGATAAGGCGTGGTCACATTACGTCTTACGTCATGAAAAGTGTGCATTCGTATTTCACTGTGAAACGTGGAGACCAATGGTTTGTATGATACCGTATAAATCAAGGTCCCGGGTCGCAGTAGGTGGCGTGATGGCACGAATAAGATATTTCATATTTATTAGCCGTAAGTGTGGAGTATAGGACAAAATCTGCAGCTCTCCATTGGCAAGTGGTGGTGCCTTCTTATAATTGAACAAATTATCGAGATGAATGTTTAACAACAAACAACGAATCAATTAATCTTACAAATAAAATATAAAAAATAAACATTTTGCATTACAATCGTCGTTACAATTTTTTTCATTATTTATTTTAACATTGTAAATGTTATGCAAGGGAAACAATTGTTACAAAGAAAAAAAAATTAAATATGAACACTGTATTGAGTACTATTGCTGTAATGTGTAAAATTTCAAGATACATTTCCTAATAATTCTAAATCATATGCAAAACAAAAACGTCTATTGAAAAGATGTAGCAAACTTGAAACTTCTGAAGAAAAAAATCAACATAAAAGCAATTATTCTATCAGAAGACATAACAGGCATACCGCTATCAGATCAAATCCATGCAAATTCATACAATGATAAAAGTTAATTTTAACCAAGGATATTTCAGTCGATCACAAATTTACTCTGTGCCATTCAAATACAAAACACTAAACCTCTGACATACCAGTTATATTCATGGGGATATTTTCAGGCTCCCTTTCTTGGACAGTTCTCTCCTTACAACAAAGATTTCGCAGCGAAAAAAAAAATATGATAAAACTGTCAATTTCTTCCTCAATATAAAAATAATAAGCACAATAGCTACAAAAATAATTAATACGCTAAAAACAATAAAAATATTAGTAGCACCGACTTCTGTGACGTCTTTTTCTTTTTCTCCCTGGAGAAATGACGAAGAGTCGTTAAGCGTATTATTGTCTGTAGAATTAAAAGCACTGTTGATGAGTGTGAGTTTGCCACTGTTAATTGATGTTGAATTATCTTTCAAAGGCTTCTGGCTTAAAGTTGTGTGGTTCTTCACAATTTTGATTTCCCAAGCTTAAAAATATAATTTGTAAAAATAACTAAGGATGCATTGTTTTCCTTGTAATTTTTTTGAATATATTTTTAAATTTAGAATAAATAGCTTATGGTTTAATATTCTGATTTTTATAAAAAGTAAATTCAAACTGAGGACAGGGTGTCGAAAATAACACACTCAAATAGGATGGTGAAATGGCTGCATGCTTAAAATTAAAAAAAATCATTTAACAAGTACTTGCGTTGATTTTAGAGAAGAAAAGTCGATATAAAACATCTCAATAGCTCACCTGTTTTCCAAAGATCAGCAAAACCAGGAGACAATGGTGAAGAAATGTTTGAATCATTGTCAAGGTTTTATCGAGACATTCAATATATCACATACTTGTTAAATAGACGTACTACTCATGCACATAGACTCGGATGCATTTGTAAAGTATATCTACATGTAGCAAATAGAGGGCTTATGAAAAATAGTTAAACGGTGACAAAGTGGTCAACATTTTACTAAATATAAATTGCTTGGAATTTTCACATTTGTTTTACTATTATACAACCATGAAATTTTTCAAAAAAATTTTCATCAAAAATAAAAATATATATTCGGCAGTCCCCGTATGATAGCTACTTTCGTTTCACTTGTTTGTATTTTTAAACTATTTACTACGTAATATTCTATCAAACGGAGGTTAACTAAGGCCGTTCTAAATCTACATTATAAATGCTGGAAAATACCCATGCAATGTAACTACTGGTACACTAAAATTAATCAAGTGACACCAGAAATAACTTAATTCATTGCACATTAAACATTTATAAGCCATCATTTACTATGCAGTTATATCATTATTAGATAAAGCAAAATGAATGTATAATGAAAAAAATGTGTACGTGTCCATCTCTACTTTAGATTTATTCTCTTAGTAGTATAGAGGGTTTTTTGTTCATTCATATTTGGTGAAATGTTCGTTATACATTTAATATCAAAACATCCTTGATGTATATTATTGAAAAATAAAATTGTCTTATCGAAAATAAAAACGCCTGTTTAAAAATATTTTAATAAGATCTGATTTAAATCTTGTTAAATGATAGAGAAATGATAGACCGCTTCAATTTTTGGCGGGTTTGTTTGACACATCCTTTCACTTTCACAAATTTTAATTTTATTCTTAATACTTAGGAAAAGTGGCAACCCGGTGAATCATAAACATCAACAATAACAGAGCCCTGTTTACCAAGATTTACGTACAAATATTTAGGAAAAACTTTAAAAATCTTCTCATGAACAAGTGGACTAAAAAA